AGATATAACTTATTAACTTTTACTATTTTTATCACCCAATCACAGGTCGGAGCCATTCCTGTATTTAGTCACTATTCTTAACTGTTTGGCCGCTTTCTTGAATATAGAAGGCAACAGTCTCAAGTTACCTTGCGCGATACATGTGTATCAGGGGTTTCCCCTTGGGTCATACTTTCATTTTTTTTCAAATTTGTTTTTAATTTGTTAATCATTGTTTTTGAATCCTTCCTAAAAACATGAAAAAGTCTATAAGTGTCCCCTTGCTTAGCTTGAATCATGTTGGAAGGGCAGTTTTAAACTAGATACGAGTACAAAACAATTTTTTTTTTGTTCCCAATTGTTGTCTTGGAAGCGATACAGCTGATTGCGTTTATTTGGAAACAGAACTCGAGACTTCTAACAATGAGTTTTCCCCTTTTCAGTTTCGCTGTGATGGGGCGTCATGTTTCTAAATATTTTTGCACAAACGTCAAATAATGGAAGCGGATTAAGTGCTGTCAAGGGTTCGAAACATCTCTCAGACGATTATCTCAATGCTGGAGTTGTTTACGAGAATTTTCACTTCCTTCACGATTTCGGTTTCATATGGGAACATTTCTGAAATCGAAATCTGCCAAGTTATGTTCTTCTCTACTGGAGAAATTAATTTTTCATCTACTCCCTTTTTTAAAAAAAGAGCGAGAAATTCTCCTTAGGTAATCCCTATGGGGGTTTCCCCTCAAATCTTGCAGATATTCCAACCAAGACAAAAATAAGTTACTTTCGATTCGTGATCTCGTCCAGACTGGAAACAAGAGCAAACTCCAGCGACCGGAAAGGCGTTTCAAAGAAAAAATATCTGCTTATGCCAATAAACTCGGAATTATTGGAAACCAAACTGACGGTTCACAATTGAGGAATAATGCGGCAATATATGTTCGCAGTTCACCGCTCAACTGTTTGACCGCCATCTTAAATGTGGGTGGAGACAGTCCCAAGTTATCTTGCGCGTTAAAACCTCCGTGCGTCCTTGGGTCAGGGGTTTCCCCTTGAGTCATACTTTCCTTTTATTTTCATATTTGTTTTTGATTTTCTAGTCGTTGTTTTTTAATCTTTCCAAAAAACATGAAGTCTAAGTGCGTCCGCTTACTCAGCTTGAATCAAGTTGGAAGGGCAGTTTTAAACCAGATACGAGTACAAAACAATTTTTTTGTTCCAATTGTTGTCTTGAAAGAGATACAGTTGATTGCGTTTGTATGGAAACACAACTCGTGACTTCTAACAAGGGGTTTTTCCCTTTTCAGTTTCGCTGTGATGGAGCGTCATGTTTCTAAATATTCTTGAACAAACATCAAATGATGGAAGCGGGTTAAGTGATCTTAAGGGTTCTAAACATATCTCCCGGAAGATTATATTAAAGCTGGAGTCGTTTACCAGAATTTTCACTTCCTTCACGGTTCGAAAGCGTAATCTTTCGGTTTCATGAGGAACCATTTCTGAACTCGAAATCTGCCAAGTCACGTTCTTCTCTACAGGAGAAATTCATTTTTCATCAACGCCTTTTTTCAAAAAAGAGCGAGAAATTCTCCTGATGTTTGAAACAGAACTCGTGACGTCTAACCAGGGGTTTTTCCCCTTTTCAGTTTCGCTGTGATGGAGCGTCATGTTTCTAAATATTTTTGCACAAACATCAATAATGGAAGCAGGTTAAGGGCTGTCAAGAGTTCGAAACATATCTCTCAGAAGATTATCTCAATGTTGGAGTTGTTTACCAGAATTTTCACTTCCTGCAGGGTTCAAAAGCGTAATCTTTCGGTTTCATATGGGAACATTTCTCAAATTGAAATCTGCCTTGTCATGTTCTTCTCTAAAGGAGAAATTCATTTTTCATCTACTCCCTTTTTTAAAAAAAGAGCGAGAAATTCTCCTTAGGTAATCCCGACGGGGGTTTCCCCTCAAATCCTGTAGATATTTCAAACCGAGACAGAAATAAGTTACTTTCGATTCGTGACCTCGTCCAGACTGAAAACAAGAGCGAACTCCCGCGACCAGAATGACGTTTCACTTGGATGAAATTGCAAAGGAAAAAATATCTGCTTATAGCAATAAACTCGGGATTATTGGAAACCAAACTGTCGGTTCACAATTGAGGAAGAATTCCCTTGTATTACCGGTAGCTGGCGAAACCTTATCGGAGACAGTAAAAGGATGGCAACAAGAACTTCTCGCTCACCTCAAACCTGTGTCA